GAGAGCGGTTTTCAAGGGGAAACATTGCCCCAAACATGGGGGAAACAGAACATGAACTCACGGATAAAGCGGTTCGTGAATTCTTCATACAACACATGAAGCCTAGTCCGATGCCAAATGAGGGGGAATGTTTGGATTCATTTGGCATGGTGAATGGAGAAACAAAAGAAGAAGGTTTAGGAAAGAAGGACGAAGGGGTAGAAAAGAAAAAGGCTGAGCAAACTACCTTAGAAGATGGCTTCAAAGAGGACACAAGGAACTCCCATGACGAAGCATCCAAGGAGAATGTGCTACTGCCAAAACAAAATCCCTTCATTCGGTCCATTCATTTAACTCCTTTATGCTCTTTAAACGATTATGTTTGTGAGAGTGATGATGGACAGGAAACTCAAACAAAAGTGGAGATCCACAAAGAGCAACAACACTTGGTGACATTGGAAGCGGATGATTTGTTGACTGAAGTAAAAGGGAGAGAAGAGACGATGAGTAGTATTCAAACGGAGACAAAGAACCGAGTTTGTCCTTTCTTCTCTTATCCCATTCAATTTGAGTTTTCGGTACCTATTGACATCTTTCAGATTCTGAATGTTTTCAAAATTAATGAGGTTGATATCTTCATGAAAGAAGCTCCGGAGATTAGTCCATACAAGATAGAGATTATTATTCCAAAAATATTTACACACAATTCAATGTTGCCTATGAGTTATGAAAATTCTAGGCTTGGTATTTCTACTCCCTATTCCTTTTTATTTGATTTATATTCATTTATAAATAGATTGGATGTTGAATATAAATATTTAGATTCTAAGAATGCGGATGAATATAATATTAACAAATATAAAAGTTTAAGTGATGCGTATGATGCCTATGACGAACCATTACCATATACTGTGAAATTAGGACTAAGACTTGCATTTTTCCATACTAGATCATTATTCCTACTGTTATTTGATTTACAAAATGATTTTGACAAAGTCACAAAGAATGCTGTATTGCTTTTATTAAAAAAAAGTATAACCGTTTCTTTAAAGTGTGGCAGGATCGAAATGATTATGATCATTCAAATAAGAGAGAAACTCTTACTTTTCTCTTATTAACCGATGCTCCTAACACTCGTGAGATGATAAGAGAGAACACAACAAAGTTTTTACCCAAAGAAGTGTACAAAGACACTTCAAATAATGGGGAAGTGAAAACCATTTGCTGTGGAATCAAAGGTAAGTCTTTGTACTCATTCGAACATAAAACTTACGTTAATTTTATTGGTTTGCAGGATTCAAACACAAAGGAACCACTTTGGAAAATACTGGAACCATTTATCAAGAAAAACCATGGATGCTATGACAAGAAGGATGTTCAAAGAACAATGTTCATTGTTGTCAAACAATGGCGGAATTGGAAAAGCACAAAAAAAAAAGGTTAAAGTAATTTCCGCTTTCAAGATTGATTTTCCGATTCTCTACAAATCATCTTGAGGGGGAATGTTGAAGTGTATGATGACATGATGGATGACCTAATTTGTGGTGATACACAAGCTGATTTGGTGGACGTAATTTCATGCCAACGTTTATTTATTTCCTTTATTTGTATTATGGAGATTTCATTTATTTGTAATTAGATATTTTCTTTTTCTTTATTTCTAGACCTTCTATATATTTTGTACAATATTTTGTAAATGAATCAAGAGAGTAATTTTTCCATTCTCATTGTCTTCTTCTTCTTTCTCGGTACTATACTCACCGAGATAGGTTTTGCACTTCTCTTCCACTTAAACGATTATAAACTCTCATATCACAAAAGTTTACATAGGCGCATACACACATACATATATATGTATAGAGAGAGAGAGAAGAGTCATTACCGGAGACGCAAACCGCTGATAGCGAGGAGGATAATGCTCATGGAGGCTGAAAACGATACCGTACAGCTGATCACTGCACCGATATAGCCTACACGCTTTGAATCCGAGTGCTCCAATACCGACGTACCGGCTATCTTGGTACAAACCGGGTCCAGTTGACTAACCGGAGGGAGACCGGCCCAATCTACGCCTCCACCACCAACGTTACATTTGTCCTCTTGCCAGACTCCACCTGGCGGGTTAACCATCATTTGGAAGCTCATGCTGGCTATGATTGTGGCAGCGACCACGAGATTTGCCTTGGTTTTCTCTAACCAATCTCCCTGCCGGTCAAGGTAGTTCCTTAACCACTCCGGTTCACCACGCACCTCGTGCCGGTTTTCCCCCTCCATGCTTAATTGATAATCAAATCCCTCCTCACTCGAGATGGATGTTCCTTCTCGCGTAATTAAAAACGAGTTTGCTTATTCATAACTATATATAACGAGTGTTGATTATTGTGTTTTGTGGTGGGACATGAAATGTTGCTGTAAGAGCAGTAAATGTCCCAATTGTCTTTAATACATACATACATATACATATATTGTCCGAAAGGGAAGAATAGTCTTCCGAAACCTTAATTAAACCTAAATAAGATTTTTTGTTTACTGAAACTAAACGAATTGAATGAAATATGAAAATAAAAAGTTTCCAAAACATACAAAAAAAATTATAAATATATGTAAGGACTTTTTTTTTTATAAAAAAATGGGCACATGTTAATGTGGAACCATTTATTCATTCGTTCATACAAAATTATAATAAATAAAAAAGAGTTGGTATTTTCCATTTAACATGCAGGATTCCATGCGTTGACTCAGTCAGTCTTTTAGTAAAAGATGTGCAAGTCAACGCAAAGTCAAGTCTTGATGTCCCAACAAAAGAAGTTGCGTGTTTTAAGGCAGAAAACGATCGAGACAGAGAACCGCACGTAATCAATTCCTTGGTTGTTTTTCAGTTCAAGACCGAGCCAACGACCCGAGGATTAGCAGCATCCGTCAATATCAGAAAACATTACGAGAATTTGGGCTGCAAATTCTGTCTCAGACGATTGTATACGTTGTTTCCAAAAGAATCTTATGGAATCCAAAAGATTCTCGCGAAACAAACACAAGATTTGGTCGGGTGATGAAAGTATAGTGAAATTAGGATTCTTTAAGCATGGATTGAAACAACAATTACTTTGTTCAATCATCAAATCCAACCCAATGTATAAATGAAGAAACTTTGATATTCAAATCAAACATATTATGATTTATTGAAGAAAAGTAGTAATAAATGTGGTGTTATTTTAACAACCCAGGGATCAACCCCCCAAAAATCCGGCTTTTACAGGACAAACCTTGAATCCCTCACCACCGCTGTTTATTCCAAGATTGAAACTTTATGAGCCACCAGACATTTTCTGGGATGAAGTGATGAAATTAGTATGAAGGGTTTCCATCAAAACAGAGAAATGTGTGTTTTTAGAGCAACATAGATTCAGGGTTCTCCATGTATCCCTTGAATGCTTTCAGCCATTCAGCTCCAATGGCTCCTGCAGATGGGGTTAAGAGCAAATATATGGAAGATTCATTTACATATTCCCAAGATCATCTACGAGCAAGCATGGGGAAGTTTATATGCGTACCGTCTATTACACGGTGGTCACAGCTCAGTGTTACAGACATGTATGATGCAAACTTGAATTGCTCCGGACCATTACTAGGTATGACCCTCTTTTCGGCTGTTTTAGATTCAGACACAAACAAGATCAGTTATGTCGGTTAACAGGGGAGAAGAGAAGGTGGGATAGTGAGTGATTACCGGATCCAACTGCTAGAATGGCGGCTTGAGGTGGATTGATGACGGCGCAGAATTGCTTGATGCCGAATGGCCCTCCCAAGTTGGAGACCGTGAATGTTCCTCCCTGAGAAAAATATATTTTTTTTGAGATTCAGTTAGACTGAATTGTTCTTGCTGGTACATGATTATGAAATTGTGAACAGGTGAACAGATTCTTACCTCGTAATCTTCTGGCTTTAAGCTGTTCTCTTTCGCTTTTTGTGCCAAGAGCCGAACCTCGTCTGCTATTTTGGAGAGCCCTTTCTTGTCTGCATCCTGGAATCAAGCAACAGATAAACCAATAATTCAGAAACTTGAAGTTTTTTGGGGGGAAGGGATAGAGCTTCACTTTGCTCACCTTTACAACAGGGACATAGAGCCCGTTCTCTGTCTGTACAGCTACGTTGATGTTGACGTTGCTATACCTATAACAAATGGAGACCAAAGAATCAGATATTAGGTCTTGGAAAAAGCCATACGTTTATATCTTGACGCTAATCTGAATCAGGAATATACTTACTGGCGGATATACTCGTCAGTCCATGAACTGTTGCACTGAGGAACTTTATGGAGAGCCAATGCAGCAGCCTGGATTTTGCAGAAATAAAAGATATTGCAATTCGGGCAGACAGAACGGGTATTCCGCCCAGTGAACTCACACGGTTGATTTATAGGTTTGATAGATCAAGTATAAGTAAATGTACCTTAATAACGAGATCATTGACAGATATCCGTTTCCCACCCGAAGACTCTTGCAACAAATTGAGTTGGCTCCGTAGACTATATATTACAAATAGCTAAAGCTCAGAATCCATTAGTCGCATTAAAAATATATCATCTGATACTCATACTTACTCCATCAATTTGTCAACACATGTATCCACAGTTAGGTAGTAGTGAGGAATAGTTTGTTTCGAGAATGACAAACGTGAGGCTGTGACCTGCAAAAATCAGGCAATAAACGATTTCATAACCCTTGATCAGATAGAAGTACAAGAGAGAGTAATACAGTGTTGAATGAGTTCAGAAATCGGACAAGAACTCAATCAACTTTGGTAATCAAAGTTTCATTTACCTTCCGTATCTGAGAGTGAGGAAGGTCAACATAGTCCAGAGCTGGAACCTTAGCATCCACACCCTTGGATGGCTTGGCAGTAACATCTTTACCACGTGAAGCTGCATTAGGAGACATGTATGGGTTAAAAGGCTGCAAAAATAGGTAAGAAAAAAAAATGACGAAGGATGATGGAAGAAAAGGTAAGTGAGAGGAAGAAGCAAATAATTCAACTACCTAAGTAATCTTCGATATCAGCCTTCACTATCCGTCCATCAGGACCTGTTCCTTTGATGCTTGAGAGAGGTACCTATAGGTTTAAAGGAGAGCAAGAAAAAAAAATTAAATATCGAAAGATGAAGAACTAGAAAATTTGAGAGTATCCTTTCACAACTAACGTTACTGTCTTCAGCAATCTTCCTCGCAAGAGGACTTGCGAAAATTCGATCTTCAGAAGCTGAAGGGCTGGGCTTGGAAATCTTGGGTTCAGGAGAGCTGGCTGGCTGCTCAACCTTCTCTATCTTTGGTGGGGCAGAAGCTGGTTCTGCTTTAGGAGCGGAAGAACCAGTATCAGATGATGGAGTGTAATCTTTGAACTTTCCAATGTCCTCTTCATCTTCGACTGTGATAGCAATTACCTAGTTAATGGCAACAACAGCAGGAACACTAAGCAAGATTCACGTCATCGATATGAAAAACTCGAATGCTGCGATGAAAATTTTATTTCATGCTATTTCAGTAATTTCGATACGTAAGGGGGAATAAAGATCACATAATATCCAAGGCATGATCATGAAAGTTCGAAAGGACTAGAATGTTTCGTACCTCTCCAACTTTAATTTCTTTTGACTCATCTCCCTTTATTATCTTGGCGAGATAGCCCTCTTCCATGCATTCCATTTCTACTGTGGCCTTGTCCTAAAAGAATATAATCAGAAGTTATGCTACGTACCCATGGGTGGAGAAAAACAAGTGGGAAGAGAATCTATCCAGAGTAGACATTACGGTTTCAACTTCACAGAGTACTTCGCCAGGAGAAACTTTATCACCCTCTTTCTTCAGCCACCTAGCAATGTTTCCCTGAAGATAGAAAAGTCACTTAGTAGAAGAACAAATTATACAGCACCAGATGTTGGTTCATGGTAGGTAGAGATCCTTGCCTCAGTCATTGTTGGCGAGAGAGAAGGCATTCCAATTTCTTGATGAGGGGGGAGATCTGAAATGGTTTTTGAAAGTTATTGGTGAATTCCCTGGGTAAGCATGTGACTAACAAATACAGAAATTTGCTGCAGTGAGCAAGTAGATCTTGGATATTCCTGAGTTAGTCACAATCCAGTAGCATAACGAGCTAGCATCTAAAAGATAAGACATTTTCAACATAAGGCATGAAATGTTAATATGTTATCAGGCCCAAAAGGCAAGGCAAGTCCTTTTTCAACTAAATTTAGATTTCAGAAGATGCATGTTAGAGCAAGTGGCTATTTCAAGCTAAAAAGGCAATAAAACAAAAGTAAAATTCGAGGATGAAACCCTTACTACCTGAACTGGATGAAAATTCTCTGACTGAAAGCATCTGGGAACTGGAAGGCAGAGAAGGGAACTTATAGTTAGAAATCAAATATCTAAATGGGCTGATAGTTTCATGATCCACATCAGAGACACATGTGCAGAGAAGATCTTGTACCAAGTGAATTCTTTCGCAAGTAGTGGCCCTCCCACTCTATTGATTAATTTTGCTGTCATTGTGGAAAAATTACCACTGAAACTGCTAGGCACCGACACCTATATAATACAATTCATGATGTCAAGACCTAAAACGAGGATCCAGCGAGCTGAAATGATTCATTTTACATAAATGGGAAGGAAGACAGCCGTAGAAAACAGTACCAACTCACATTTCTGGTATTAGTTCTGGACATCCTCTGCAGTGGGGAATGATCAAGGTGGGCCTTGAAGATATCTGAAGACCAGAGCATAAAATGCTGAAGTAACAGGCAGGGAATCTCACCAAATTCCAAACCACATTACAATTCCGATTCACAGTTTGATTACATATGGCATTCTGCCCTCTACCAGTTCATGGAAAAGGTATAACAACAGTCCAACTCCAGCAAATCCGAACCAGATATCCAAATACTAAATAAACAAGAAGACAACAGTTGTAAGAAATGCAAACAATGTCGATTTCATTTACCTTCTCTTCTACCGAGAGGGGGATGTGCATCATTCGAGAAGCAACGGACGGCCACAGCATGCTCATGCCGGATTAATGTGGAAACACTTTTCAACTGCCGAAACACACAATCCCCAATTGATGTTATATATATATGCAAGAAATGGAACATACAAAAACATCATCTAATCTAAAGCCCGAGCCTTTCTGGGACTCTTCAGTCTGATTAATATACTCAATTGCCTGGGGAAAATTTGGGTATGGGAAACAAAGCAGCTACCACCAATAATTCAAATCATAAAACAAAAGTGAAGCTAAAGCTCAGGAAATTTAGCTAATACCGCATCGTTGTTAACCAAATCAAATGGTTTGCGGAAGAGAAAACAAGCAATTCGAATGAAACTCGGAAGCAGAAACAATACTTGAAAGGCAGACGCGAACAGAAAATGAATGCACATACGGAATCCGACAAAAGATCACGAACACGATGGCAGAAGAACCCAAATACCCAAAAGTAAAAAAGAAAAACAAATGGCCGGAGGAATCTCGAGACAGTACCTTCTTGGAATGATTGATGATACGGGAAGCATAAGCCATGGCGTGACACCGGAAATGCTTCAGCCGATCCGGTTTCGCTACAATGGGTGAGGAAGACTGTTGTTAGGGCTTTTTTTATTCCCTTATTGTAAATCTATTTATTTTCCATCTTGTTCTTTTGAATTATTACGAGGTTAAATCGCCATAAAAACTCTGTACTTTTACTATATCAACGAAAAAATTCTGTATTTTTTTCCTTACCAAATAAACCTAAACCCTGTACTCTATCCTAGTAACCAGTTAAATCCTGTACTTACCATTTATTAACTAAAAAACTCCCGCACCGTAAACATTGTGACGGCTGAAACGGAACTAGTGACATGGCATAAGCGGAGTTGCTGATCCTAATCCACGTAGGATTTACTTACCACGTCAGATAAAACAAAACAATTATAAGGTCGGAAAATAAACCATATTAAACCTAATCACAAAAAACTCCTCTATTTCTCCAATCACAAAAAACTCCGTTCGAACCCTAAGCCTTAGTTTCGTTCTTCATCAGTTTCGTTCTTCACCGGGTTCTTTCTAAATCGTGTGTATTTCGGAGGCGATTTGGAGACGATGCGAACTGGGTAATCGATTTGAAGTTTCTCCCGGTATTTCGAAGCCGATTTGAAGGTGAGTTTAAACCCCAAAGCTTCGGCGGAAGAAACCCTAAAGCTTCGAAGCCGATTGCTCTCTGTTTGAAGATAACCCATTTTCATCACTCATGTTCTTCGATTTTGGTGAAGCGATTTCTGACAGTGATACCATTTTGTTTTGATTGAAGATAACCTGGTGTCATTTCTTCTACAAATCGGCGGAAGAAAGGTTCGGGTAAACACTGTCATATTTTCCAGGTATTGTTTCGAAGTCGATTCGATGTAATGTTTGTGTTGCTCATTTTTTCAAAAAATTATGAAATGTTTAGGTTTTGCAAGGATGTCAAGGGATGATTCAGATGATGTGATAAGAAACATACATTTGGGCGGATCAATAACGAAAGATGATGAAGGAGAGATAAAATATGTTGGTGGGTTTGTAGAAAAAATTGAGAGTGTGGTTAATGTTGATTATCTGAATTGGTTTATGTTTGAAAAGTTGGTGAAGAAAGAGAGATTGCCTCAAATAAAAGAGCTTTGGTTAAAAAGACCAAATGAGGAGATGGATTATTTGAGGCAAATATACAAAGATGTAGATTTTGGAATTATAGACATGATTAATATGGGGAAAAGAAGTGGAGAATTGGATGCATACATTGTGCATAAGGTGTATGACGGGCCTGTTCTAAGTGGACTATTGAGCAATACTGAACATGACAGTGATGATGATGGACACTGTGATGGGGAGAGATTAGACAATGATGAAGAGTTAGACAATGTTGAAGGATTAGGTGATGGAGACAGATTAGATTATGGTATTGGTGGATTAGATAAAGAGGTTGGTTGTGATACTAATCCACATAATGCAGAGTATGATGATGATGGATTAGGAGATGATGAAGGATTAGACAATGATGAAGGATTAGGCCATGATGAAGGATTAGGTGATGGTGTCAGTGGATTACATAATGCAGAATATGTCAGCGATGCAGAGTGTCGTGACAATGGAGATGAGTTTCCGAGTACCCAAAAAACGAGAGAAGAAAAATGGATGGAGTTCACGAGCCTATTCAATGACAAGAAACCACAAGATGTAGGATCAACAAGTTCGGGTAAACATAATCTTCATCTTGGTAAGTGTTTTAACACTGGTGAAGATTTTAAAGAAGAATTGTTTAAATATGCATTGGATAATAACTTCAATGTGAAGTACTTGAAGTGTGAAAGTAGAAGGTATTCAGTAGTCTGCACAGAGAAAGATTGTTCTTGGCGAATCTATTGTTCTCTGCACACTGCGCAAAACAAGTGGATGATCAAGATATTCAATGATAACCACAACCACCCGAAGAGGAGTCATGTTGGGTTGTTAACTTCAACACGTATAGCGCAACTTTTCGCTGAAGATCTCCGAAGAAATCCCTCTCTTTCAGCCGAAGAAATACAAGATCAGGTTATGAAGCGACATCAGGTGATAGTGTCACGCGTTCAGTGTTTCAAAGCTCGTAGAATTGCTTTAGGGACATTGGTTGAAGATCAAGGTGCTCAATTTGCTAAGTTGATGGATTATGAAGCAGAACTTCTGAGATCTAACCCAGAAACTACCACTGAAATTAGTACGGAGGAGGGATTATTTGATCGGTTTTATGTTTGCTTTGAGCCTATGCGTGAAACATGGAAGAAGTGTTGTTGTCCAATTATATGATTAGATGGTTGCTTCTTGAAGTGGGCATTAAAAGGTGAACTTCTTGCTGCCATTGGAAGGGATGCTGACAACCGAGTTTATCCAATTGCATGGGTTGTTGTTCGTATTGAGAATAAACATACCTGGGCTTGGTTCGTGAAAAAAATAAAGGTTGATTTGTGTCTAGGAGAAGGACAAAGCATCACAATACATTCAGACAAGCAAAAGGTACCCACTGATATATACTTGAATTTGAGTATTCAAAATGAAACAGTTATTCATATTTTAATGGCTGATTTGTTAGGGTTTGATATTGGCCATCCAAGACCAATTGCCTCATTGTGAACATCGTATGTGTGCGAGACATATATACGCTAATTGGAAGAAACAATTCAGAGAACCCGAGGAGAAGAAATACTTTTGGAAGGCTGCATATGTTTCCACCAAGGTAATATATACTTTAAGACGGTTTTTAATCTATTTTGATTGATTTTTTTTAGCTTGAAGGTGAATTTGAAGGTGAATTTGGTCAATATATGGAAGGATTGAAAAGTTTTAATCCAGCAGCATATGAGGCATTGATTGCTACTAATCCAAAACATTGGTCTCGAGCATTCTTCCAAGAATCAGCAAAATGTGGAGATATTAACAACAATTTGAATGAGAGCTTCAATAGTTCAATCAAAGAAGCCCGACTTCGACCAGTTTTAGACATGCTTGAGGATATTCAGAGACAAGCCATGGGACGGATCGCAAAAAGGCTGAAAGAAGCTACTAAATGTAAGACGGAATTCACCCCTCATGCAATGGAGAAACTAGAAAAAGCAAGGAAAAAAACTGCGTTATGCACGGTGATTCCAAGCGGCCATGGGAAATACGAGGTCATGAATCTGGGAACAAGTTATTCTGTCGATCTTGGTTTGAAGAACTGTGCTTGTCGAGAATGAGATGTAACAGGTATCTCATGCTGTCACGCGTTAGCTGTTATCAATCAAAAACAAGACAGCTTGTCTATGTAAGTTTGTTTTGGTTCACATTTCTAATGTTAAGCTACTTTATTTGTTTAGTCATGTGATGAATATTTTTCTATAGGTATGTCTCAGATTACTTTTCAAAGCAGAAATGGATCAAGACATATGAGCAGAACATTCTGCCCGTAAATGGACAAATTTTGTGGACGAAGACAGGAAAATCTCCTCCTGGTGTACCTGATGACAGACCAATGCCAGGTCGACCGAGAAAGTTTAATCGGACAAAGGATCCGCATGAGTCTCCGTCAAAGAGTGGTCGACTTTCACGCCATGGAAGAAAAATGACGTGTACTCGTTGTAAACAGGTCGGACATAATGCCAAGACATGTAAAAATGAACCATTTCAAATGGAAGGTCCAACACGTGGGAGAGGTCGTCCGAGAAAAGTAAAGGTACAAAAACTGCATTTTCTGGTTTTGCTTATGCGTTATTTGTTTCCTTGATTGGTTATGATGAATATTTTCTTACTAGTTGGGAGGGCAAACAAGTCGGCCAGCTTCTTCCAAGAAGAAGAAAACTACACAACCTGTTATATCGGAAAATGCTCAGACTAGTGGTAACTCAATAGCCGATGGTATACTTACAACCATTCTATTATTTTAGTTTCTAGTGTTATTAGACAACATAATGCATTTCAATTTCTGTTTGGCAGGGTCCTCCATTCCAACACAAGGGAGTCAGACAATACAATCGGCATTTCCTCATCATCAGAGAGCACATCTTCCTGAGTCAACCTCATCACTTCCAAACACGGTCTTCATTGCACCTTGAACGGGTTGAAAATTCCAGATTCCAAGACAAGAAAAACAGAAATGATTATGCACTACCTACAGTTGTACCGACTTTTTTGATAGAACTCAATGTATCCAAGATGTTGGCTATTCTATTGTCGAACTATGTATCCAGGATGCCAATTTTTTTTGGGATGTAATGTTATGCCGGGTTTTTTTTCATCCTGTACAAACATGTTATGTTAATATCGTAATATAATCTTCTTTGTGTAATGGTCAAAAACATAACATTCATAGTCTGATAACTATAATTAGGGTCAATAACATAACATTCATTATTCATTAACTACACCAATATTCGTTTACCATTTCTACATTTCTAAACATAGGATAATCCATAGTAATACCCAAAAAACATAGCTACACCGATTACAACTACACCAAATATAACTACAACATTGTTGTATTCAACCATCTTAACATTCATCTTTTCCATATTCTGATTCATCTTGTCCATCCTAACATTCATCTTCTCCATCATCTTCTCCATCTTAACATCCATCATCTTTTCCATCTTCACTTCATGTAACTCATCACGGAAACCATCCAACTCTTCAATTATCGCATCGTCAAGCCATTTGAAAAAATGAGAACCATTTCTCTGAAACATAAAACAACACAAACATAAGAAACCAATGTCATTTTCTGAAGAAAAAAAAATATGTACAAATTACATACCTCTTGCGAGTCACAAGAAAAGAAAATTCTTCCAGGATTTTTGTCTGTTCTCGATGTCTTTCTTGATATAGGTAGTCCGCATTCACACCGAAATTGTAAAATTCCATTGTTCCGTCGAGTTGGTCGAGCATTCGAAAGTGAAGACTCTGTTGCATAACTCATCTTCTATTTTCAACCTGCAACATAAACACGTACTGTATTTTTAGTAAAAAAATCGAAATCGAAGTCTCTGATGAATCTCTAACACATTTGTAACAATACCCATAAACTTAAATCTGCCAAAACCAGCCCACAGTAACCGAAATTTGACAAACCCTAAACCCTAACTCTAAAAATCTCAAGTGAAATTTTATTTTTCAGTCGCATAACAACAATACAGAACCCGAACAAGCCTGAAATCTTCGAAATCAAATATATTTCAAAGCCAATCCACAAACCCTAGAAACTCAAATGGAGTTTCTTACCTGTTACCTTTGCTTCACTTGATAAAAATAACGCATAAACCAAACGAGATAGAACAGATGCGAGATTTACTCGAAATCTGTTGAAAAATCTGGAGAGAAAGCCCCTACAAATGGAAACTCTTACCCTCTCTCTATCTCTCTCGCGTTCTTCTGCTATCACCCAAAATAAATACAATTTTGTATAAATTATAAGCTTGTTTTATCTGACGTGGCAAGTAAATCCTACGTGGATTAGGATCAGCAACTCCGTTTATGCCATATCACTAGTTCCGTTTCAGCCGTCACAACGTTCACGGCGCTGAAGTTTTTTATTTAATAAATTGTAAGTACAGGGTTTAACTAGTTACTAGGATATAGTACATGGTTTATCTGGTAAGGAAAAAAGTATAGGGTTTTTTCGTTGACCTGGGAAAAGTACAGGGTTTTTATGGCGATTTTCCCTTATTATTACGTTAGAGGAAGATGTTGTAGGCTTTAATCTGGTGCGGTGGAGAACATATATCTGAAAAACAATAGACGGCTGAAATTAGTCCAATCTGATCACAGGCTCAGAATGTTTCTTTGATCTTATTTAATGGGCCTGAACTCTGGACCTGAGCTGGACTGGACTAAACCTCTTTTGTCTAAACCCAGTTTTGGACAAAAATCTATTTTTTCTATTAAATAAAACATGGAATATTAAGTTTGACCTTCAAAGATTCTGATGTCTAAAAACATTATAGATTGGTTTGGACCGATTTTGTTATATGAATATCGAAAAAGAATCGAAATTTGATATTTTCACGTATATTCGTATATAAAAATAGATAATTCGAATTTTAGTTTGATATTAATTGTGTATGGTGTGAGAATAGTTTATTGGATTATAAATATATATATATATATATGAATTAGGATTTAGTATTATCCAATCTAATTCGATCTTGTTCGGTTTCGGTTCAAAATTAAATTATCGAGCCAAAACATTCAGTCCTTATTGCAATTAGACTATCCATATATGAAATTAAAGTGAGAAATCACATTCTATTTCTATTTTTATCACTTTTTGTGTGTGTGTGTGTGTGGTGATAACGTATATATTGACTAATATTAAAACATGTAATGTGCATTATTTTGGTATATATATATATATGTATAATTTTTGTACTTGGAAATTGCTTTGTTCATAAGCACCAACTAAGAGGTAAGAATCCATGTCATAAAGGTTCAAAAGCTGCAATAAAGAAAAGAAAAAAAAAAGTTTATGAAAAAGAGAGTTGGTTACAATTACACGTCACCATTGAAAAGATAAGTTGTACATTTCCTTTCTAAATTATTTATTAGACATTATAACTTTCTGAAATATGGATGGAATAATTCTTATATATTTGTTTATTTCATCAAAATAATTTATAACCTTGGTGTATACTTTTGTTCATGGTTATTTTATTTAGTGTCGGCATTTCAGTCACGATGAGCTATGAAATTACAAAGGGGAAAAACAAAACCGTAACCTTGTATCTTCAAAACTCTAAATATAACATTTAAAATAAATAAAAAAAACTTGTGATTTCTTTGGCAAAACCAAAACGGTAATAAGAAAGCAAAGGCGGGGGTATAATGGGAAATAACAAAAAATAAACAGGGGGAGAACTTTTCCTAATTGGAAAACCCTAACACCACACGCGTGAATGGGAATATAAAAAGTCGCTTACGCTTTACTCTCGGCCTCTTTGGGTTTTCTCTAATCATCAGTCTCTCTCTCTCTATCTCCCTTCGCGGCTTAGATCCGATTTTTGGGAGATTCAAGCTCTCAAGAAAACCCTAGCTTTTTGTCTCTCTAGCTTTCATCTCCATCAGTTCAGCTCCAGGTTCTTGACTCTTTTTTTTTTTCACTTTTTGATTGTGCGTAAGAATCGATTTCTTTTTGTGATTTGGCGGACGATGATTGATTGGATCTTCGGTTTTCGTGGTTTGACGTGGTCTCTCTTGATTGCTTTGGCTTCGGATGCTTGTGGGTTGGTTTCAAAGTTATGAATTTGAGTCGCTAGGTTGTTTGATTTCCAAGGATGTGTTGTAGATCCTGCTTGGTTACCCACTCTCGTGGATGGAATCGTATCGTATTTTCCCCATTAGATTTGGAAATTTCACCCATATGATGATGACGATAACCAATGTCTGATGTTACGCTCAATCGACATCGATTCTGCGTTTAATCATTCGTAGCTCTCTCGAGAACTCTCGATTTCGGTCGAAGTTTATGAATCAGGCTGATGCGTTTGGGATATAGTTCATTGATCGAGCTTTGGTAGAATGTGGAATTGGAAACTTTTAGGGTATCGGTGTTGTAGTTCTGGATTTGACGGTTTCTTCACTAATGTTCCCTTTCTCATGCCTTTTGTTTGATTGCATAATTTGGAGAGACTGGTTTTGAGTGGTGTCTATGCTGTTGGATAACCATTTCCCTTCGATATAATTCTCTCCAAACATCAGAGACAGATCTTAATGCTTGTTTTCCTCTTTGGATGGTCTACAAGTTTGGCTTTTCTGTTACATTCTTCGATTCCAAGAATTTGTTTTTTTTGCGAACATCATTACAGATTGCCTCTCTTTTCCCTGTTCTGTATCTGTTAATGTTGTTCTGTAATTGCAGTCATGGCAGGTTTGGCACCAGAGGGCTCACAGTTTGATGCTCGTCAGTTCGACCAGAAGTTGAATGATTTGTGAGTCTTCAAATCCAATTCTCTACTTTTTTGGGTGCATGCTCTGTTCGGTTTCTAATTGTATCATATGTGTGCAGGCTTGATGGTGGCGATGAATTCTTCACATCTTATGACGAGGTTTGTGAAAGCTTTGACGCCATGGGTTTGCAAGAGAATCTTCTCAGGGGTATCTACGCATATGGTAGGGTCGGCAGGACTCGGAGGATGAATTTTTTGTGCCTTAGCTTATTTTGCTCTATATCTCATATGTGTCCGCGATTGCTTCCCAGGTTTTGAGAAGCCCTCTGCAATTCAGCAAAGAGGAATTGTCCCTTTCTGCAAGGGCCTTGATGTGATCCAGCAGGCACAGTCTGGTACCGGGAAAACCGCAACCTTCTGCTCTGGCATTTTGCAGCAGCTTGACTACAGCCTTGTCCAATGCCAGGCTCTGGTTTTGGCTCCAACTAGGGAGCTTGCCCAGCAGATTGAGAAAGTCATGCGGGCTCTTGGAGATTACCTCGGTGTTAAGGTTCATGCCTGTGTTGGTGGAACCAGTGTTCGTGAGGACCAGCGTATTCTCCAGGCCGGGGTCCATGTCGTCGTTGGAACTCCTGGTCGTGTCTTTGACATGTTGCGTAGGCAATCCCTTCGTCCTGATTACATCAAGATGTTTGTCCTCGATGAGGCTGATGAGATGCTCTCCCGAGGTTTCAAGGACCAGGTTTGTTTTGTTTGCTTCGAAGCTCAATTCTTTCACATCATGTTTTATGTTTTACTCTTAACCTAAAAGAGACAATGTTTCCGGGTTTCACCGTTTCAGATATATGATATCTTCCAGCTCCTTCCACCCAAGATTCAGGTGGGTGTGTTCTCAGCCACAATGCCTCCAGAGGCTCTCGAGATCACAAGGAAGTTTATGAACAAACCCGTGAGGATCTTAGTGAAACGTGACGAGCTCACCCTTGAGGGTATCAAGCAGTTTTACGTCAATGTTGAGAAGGAAGAGTGGAAGCTCGAGACGTTATGTGATCTCTACGAGACTCTGGCCATTACCCAGAGTGTTATCTTTGTGAACACTCGGCGAAAGGTGGACTGGCTCACGGACAAGATGAGAAGCCGTGACCACACTGTCTCAGCCACTCATGGTGACATGGACCAGAACACTCGAGACATCATCATGCGGGAGTTCAGGTCGGGTTCTTCCCGTGTTCTGATCACGACCGATCTCTTGGCCCGTGGTATTGATGTCCAGCAAGTCTCTCTGGTCATAAACTTTGACCTCCCGACCCAGCCGGAGAATTACCTCCACCGTATCGGAAGAAGTGGGAGGTTCGGAAGAAAGGGTGTGGCCATCAATTTCGTGACCCGGGATGATGAGAGAATGCTCTTTGATATCCAGAAGTTCTACAATGTTGTCGTGGAGGAGCTTCCGTCGAATGTGGCCGACCTTCTGTAAGAGGGAGAGAGGGCTTGTTTCGCAAGGTAGGTGTGTCTGTGTCCATCGCCGGTGGAAGGTTTCTTGTTTCGCAAGGTACTGTTGGATTTTGACCTTTTACTACATCCCGGCGGTTTTTTCCATTTTCTTCTTCTTCTAAACCTTTAAAATTAATTTTTCTAGTGTTTTTGGTTTTGCTGAAAGTCTTTGAAGCCATTGTTGTTTCCTCCCCTTTCGGACGTATAATTATCTCTCTGACCAAATTTAATCATATGGAGATTATTTATTTAATCTCATTTGTGATATTTGCTTATACTCTCTCTCTCGTTTGTTGTATCCATCAATATGTTTAGTCATAAATATTTTCCTTTATATCACATTAATTGTGTGTATATATATATCTTAGGAAGGTTGAAACAGTCTTATCCGCATTATTTTCCGTACGGAAAATAATATATAACGATTAATCCGACCAATGGCATATTCCATGAGACCCACCGACTTTTCCTTATTTTTTTAATACGTAGATTATTTGGTTTTTTTAAAGTGATTATGGAGAAGATTAATGATTGATAATATCATTCAGTTTTTATTATTTTGTATAATTGTACCGATTTAGGATCTCTAAGTTACGGTTCGGACAGTCCACGTGCCCATGTAAGAAAGTTGGGACAACATCACATCCTTGCAAACCTACCACTCCAGCTTAGAAAATATTTGCCACAATTTATTATAACATATAGACTTTTCTTTTATGCCATTAAATAACGACGTCTAAGTTATTGAAAACTCTTTTGGGCTATTATTATATTATATGTTGAAAAAATTAGTATTCATGCTGCCTATTTTCTCGTTTATAATGTGAAATATTGATTCTATTTATTTTTTTCATATTTTAAATGAACCCCAAATAATTCAGATTTATCTTTTACAAAGGGACGCAATTGGTCGGTTGACCAACTCCACATGAAGAAGGATTTCCCCCAAAAAAAAAAAATCTTTATTTTGATTTTACTTTTCTCCCAACTTTTTTTTAAGACCATCCATCAAAAAAAAAAAAAAAAAACCAGAGACGGTCTTCTTCAGACCAAACGCATAGGAGCACGATGGAGAACTATTTGGGAGAAACCAAACCGTCAAACGCAGCGGCGGGAAACCGCTGCGACGCCGCCGTCGCTAGGAGTTACAGCGCAAGTTTCTGCGACCAGACACAAACGCAGACGCAGATGAAGAAAAGCAGGAGCGTTCGAAACGCGGCTCGAGCGGTCACGAGGAGCTGGAGCTTCAACGATCCAGAATTGCAGCGGAAAAGACGAGTCGCTGGCTATAAGGTTTACTCCGTCGAACACAAGATGAAACTCTCCTTTAAAAAAAGCTTCAAATGGTTCAAACATCTCATCGGTGTTTGATTAATCGCGTTTATCTTTCGCGTTCGCGTTTGCGTCTGCTGTCGGTTCCTGGGTCTGTCTTCTCTCTCATAATAAACTCATGAGTGAGTCATGAGTAATATAATTTTGTTCTCGTGAATAATAATAATAATAGTAATGAAAAGAAAGTTATGAAGAATATATTTTTTTTTTCAAAAATATATTTCCACTATCTGATCACACATCTTCGCATACAAACAACACAACATTTTTTCCCTATCCTAATGGTATAGAAGACTTGATTACAAAAAAAAAAAAAATATATGGTACCCTTTCTTTGTACACAAAAACCCTTTTTTCTTTCTTCTCTGTGAGTGGATGAATGAATGATTCCCGAGAAAGTTTCAGGAAAAGAAAACTTAGCTAGCAAGTAACTCAAGTCTCGGTAGAAGAAGCGCCGCTCAAAATCGACGGCCTCCTCTGAAGCCTCTCCCTCAGCTGGCGGATCTTGGCATCCACACGGGCCGTGAACCCAATCTTCGTCCTCTCCCTCGCCCTGGACCGCTCCCTGGTCCACATCCCTTCATCCCTCACATCGATCCCGCCATGCTTGATCTCTTGTATGATGTGATGGTCAAGAGGGTTTACCAGTCTCTGGTACGAGATGTGAGCTAGGTAGGGCAGGGCAGTGGCCGTCACCACGAGCAGGGACGCGACCCAGAAGATCGGGGCAGGGGCTAGGGTTTCGGCCAGCATGTGGAAGATGTTGGCCGAGAGTTTGGGCGGCAGCATCCCGAAAAGGACGAGGAAGACGTACCAGGCGACAATGCTTCCCCAGATCATGACGTGTTGGATCCACGTGAAATGACTCATAATTAGGGCGATCTGGACGTTCACTGCCCAGATGATGCAGGAGAACATGGTGGTTCCCATGGCGTTCATGTCGGCTGTCTGGCCCGTTGAACGGAATGACTGGAGGTGGAAGATCCCGATGTTGAGCCAGAAGATGACTATGGACGAGTAAAGTCCGTTCACCATCCACCCGAAGATTCTCCACCAGTCGAAGAACAGGTTTTTCGGGCCTTGCTGGTACAATGCAGGGAACTAGACAAAGGTCAAAGACAAGGGTTCAATTCGGTTTTCGATGTTAAGGTAAGGTAGATAAGGATGTGGACTGGGCCGGAGGAACACTGACCTGTAAGCAGACATCAGAAGAAACATCTTGCTCGAAAACTCCGAGGCTGATGACGGGGAGAGAGGTGAGGATGACGTTGAAGAGTAACAAGTAGGAGTCGTTGTATATGGATTGACCAGAAAATCCGGTATAAGCCTCGTAGTAGAAGAGGGTTAGGCCGAAAGTTATGTTTTTGTAGAAGAAATAGCAGATCTGTAAAACCAACACGAATGAGATTCATTCAATTGGTCAAATGCATCATATAGATACAGAATATATTACCATCTGTGCTATTCTTTTGTAGCACCAGTGGCCATGGACGACGAGCAGTCTCTCCATAAACCGAAACTGAGCTATGGAGAAGTCGCTAGCCATTACAGCCTGCCAAAAAAAAAGAGGGTTTTCTCAGAAACGATCACTGTAACTTCATATCTCAACGGTATTCGAGAATTTGTTTAGTCACCTGCATGCCTTCCACACCGCTGATACCTACACCAATATCGGCTTCTTGAATCATTCCCACATCATTTGCACCATCACCAATTGCTAAGGTCACCTTTCCTGTTCCTTCTTTCACTAGTCTCGTTACCTGGGAATACCAGCATTATCAATAAAATGAGCTTACACATCCATAAGATTGCGTTTTTTCAAGTGATTTAAGTTTTTCAGAACTAATCTTACGAGTGCTTTCTGCTTGGGAGAGACACGGCAGCAAATGACAGAAGCACAATCAACTGCGAGGGCGAGGAACTGAAACTTGATATCATCCTTCAGAGCATAAGCAAGAGTCTTCCCGTCAATGATCAAAGCAAAAGCTGCATGTGGATCCTTTTCTATCTTGATCATCTGTGCAGCATTTGTGATCTGCATCAAAATGCTCTCTTTTGCAACCTGACCACCACCAAATCAATAACAATGAACGGGTTTTTACATCAGTCGGAAAATTTCACTGAAATGGTGATACGGGTGTTACAGTATTTTGATCCAAAAACATACAGCCTCGGGGTCTTGGGATGATTCCTCTGAATTTGTCAGCACTATGGAGATCTGCTTCATACCCTGTCGGAGTAAGCTGCAGGCATATCTGCAATCGGGAAAACAGAGAAATTAGTTCACTTCATCAGAAATCAAGTTCTTGGTTCATGTTAACAGAAACATTTATAAAACAAACCCTATGTTTGTGGCTGTCTCCATCTTATCTCCTGTCAAAACCCATATCTTGAGACCAGCTTGGGCAAGTTTATCTATGCATTGAGGCACCTGAAAGTGAAGAAAGAACCGTAAGCTGGAGGGAATCTGTCAAAAGAGGCAGTGCAATAAACTAAGTAGCATACCCCTATCTGCAGTTTGTCTTCCACAGCAGTAGCCCCAACAAGGATCAGTTCCCTTTCCATCACTTCTGATATCTTTTCGAGAAGCGTATCTCTATCAGCTCCAACATAAGTGTTAGCTTTTAGGAAATCACTGTTCCATGCTGAATACTCTTCCTCTTCTAGCACTTTGTAAGCCAGTGCTAATGTGCGCAGACCCGCATCACCATACTCATTTAAGTGCTTTGTGGTAGCTCCTAGATAAGTCTTCCCTCTCTTGGCTAACCGATCGAAAATAATGCTGCAAAATTTTCAAGAAAAAGAATTGAATTTACAGCAGAATAAGTATATAACACCCATCATCATCATCATCATCATCATCATCATCATCATCATATGATTCCGACCTGTCTGCGCCTTTGCAGAGGAGAAGAATATGCCCTTTTTCATCACGAACAATTACAGACATTCTTTTTCTCTTGCTAGTAAAGTCCAAAAGATTCAGAATTTTGTATTCCCTGTAAAAGTATCGGACACATAGTTAGATATCTACTTCGAAACTCACCGTTGATTGGTCAAGTTACAGGCTTTCTCACCTTTCAACTGGCCGGACTGACAAAGGAGTTCGTTCACTGACAAAGACACCAGATTGAGTTCTCTTACTGAACTCGAAACCGAACTCTCTTGCAGCAACAAGAAAAGCGACTTCATCAGGAGACTCGGCTTCATAAGTCACCTTCCCTGTATCTTCATCCACCTCAGGGATTGCAGTGTGGCAAACTGCCAGTATACGGAAGAACATCAAAATATCATCTGGATTTGGTTCAAGTGACCAGTTTCCACCCATGAGACGGTTGTCCTCGAAACTGAACCCCTTAATGCCAGTCTGGATTCTATCCTTTTTGTCAGTAGCAGTAACTACGGTATCCAACTCAAACTCGGGTGAAGACTTCATGGTCATTGTCTCGTATCTACGCGCGTTGTTCTTAATCTTTTGAATACCAGATGCGTAATCATCACCACCATCATCACCATCTTGCTCCTCTAGATCCTTTTCCATTTGCTTTGCAGCAGCTACTTCCACTTCGCTGGCATGAGCACCATAAGAAATACCTGCAATGGAGCATTTCAGAAAGTCCATCTGATTACACGTCAAAGTTCCCGTCTTATCAGAGAGTATTGTGTCAACTTGTCCAAGCTCTTCATTGAGATTCGATGTCCGTGCTTGGGCCGGAGTCCCAGTGTCACTATCGTACATATTCAAGTCTTGGTTGATAAAAGTTGCTTGCAGGACCTTTACAACCTCAATGGATACATATAGAGAGATGGGAATCAAGTATCCATAAAGCAGGAGAGCAGTGATCAGGTGGACAACCCAAGCATGAATAGGGTTTTTTGGATTTGTTAAGCTCTCGGGTTTATCTGGTCTTAAGAACCACCAATTCACCATGTGAAGCTTCGTCATCAAAGCAAATGCAAGAGAGCTGATGAAAGAAACAAAGATAAGGAGCGCAAAGAGAGTGTATATGATTTTGTCCATCCTCTTTTCGATTCTGCTCCTCTTCGATGGCGATTTAGTAGCATTCTGCATTACTTTTGTATCATGACCAGTGAATATCGCCACCCCGTAAACGTAAGCAGTGTTCCTGAGCTTTGAATCTCTCAATAGAATCTGGCTAGGATCAAGTGGATGAACCTGGCCTTCATATTCGAGATTCCCGACATATGTATACAGGTTGGGGTTTGGATCTTCACATTTGATCGTTCCGGAGAAATTCTGAAAAGATTCGTCGAGCTCCAAAGGCAAGGTTGCATCCAGACATCTCTTCACTTTCAGATTGGTTTCTCCATCCAAGTTCATGGTCTCCACATAACAAATCCCGTCCTCGTAACTAGACGACAACAAGAGCAAATCAGCCGGGAAAAACTCATCCTTCTCTACCCTTACTACATCCCCGACACGGATCTTCTTCCACTTCCGACGGCCAAAATCGCCACCACCTTTGTGAACATTGATTTTTCTAGAGTTCACTTCCACATCTTGCATAAACCTGCGCCAATCCTCTAATCCTTCCTTACCCATGCTAAGCCCGACAACGAATACCAACGGAGCGATCATGCTCCATTTGTTGAAAGGGGAGAGAGGGAAGACGGAGAGAACGGCAGCTACGAGGAAGTAGAAATTTGCAACACGGTGAAATTGCTCGTATAAGCTCTTGGGCAAGAAGGAGAGAATGGTATATCTTGTGGTGGAGACATAGTTTGAGCGGTACCTAAAGGGTTTAGCCATGTGAATTTGTGGTCGGTTGCAATAGACGATTCTTGAGAAACCGGGTCCATTGATGGGATGTGGCCTTTGATCTTCGAGGGTCTTCGGCGTCAGGCATCTAAAGGTGTAGAATTTGCTTTTTCTGATCCTCGACCTTATCTTGTGCCTACTCATCTTCCTCGAGGATTCACTTCAATGGCGATACTGCAATTTCTGGTTAACAGAGTTGAAGATTTCGAGGAGATCTCGACGTTCACAGGTCAACTCTCTACTGTCAAATCCAAACAATTCAAGAGAAATACATTAGCTAAGTTACACGAATTTCTTACACTTCAAACTACGAAGATGAACAGACTCAGGTACGAGACTGAGATTCTTTCCTCGAATCCCAAAATCGGAATTGGACAAACCTATAAGATCGCAAAGGAATAGAATCTTCGAAAGAAACACCCAAAACTTGCGACCCAAGACAACGGAAATCCCTTGAACATTACGTAATCCCACGAATTTCAAATGAAAACGGCGAAATGTCGAAGAGGGTTTACCTTGGAATCGGGAGGCTCAAACATGATCGGGAGAAAATCCGTCTGGGCAAAGCGCCGATTCCGACGAGGGAAAGAAACAGAACCAGAGAAAGAGCTCGCGCCTTTGGGAGATCAAACCAGAAGAAATGAGAGGAGACGGAGGAGGGTTCTTCTCGCTTCCCGCTCTTTCTCTCTCTGAGGAAGAAGAACAAAAGACGAAAGAGAGAGACTCTCTCTCTCTCTCTCTCTGGCGGCGACTGCAACTCAAAAAAAACAAAAAAAAAAAAAAAAAAAAAAAAAAAACCAATGCAGCAATATCTGTTGCCTTTCGTTTCTCTCTACTATTATTCATCTCCCCATTTTTGTACAAAATATAAATTCGTGACTTTGATTTAATTTTTTTTTGTTTAATTGGTAAAAAATAAAATAAAATATTAATAAGTTCCTTGATTAGTTGTTTCCAGATTCGCCTGCAAGCTCATTTTCCATTAATTTTTTTTACCATATAATTGTTCTTAAAATTACAAAGCACATCAATGTTTTGATTTCTGTGCATATAATTAGGTTCTTTTAACCATATATATATATATATATTTCATGATTTCATTCAGAGAAATGGATTTCTGCGTTCATCATCACTATATATATAACAAATATACATACCGATATTATTTTCCGTGCAGCAAGGTACACTCTCTCGGCCGGTACGGTCAAATCTACCGGTTTGGAAATTCCGGATCCGGTTAAGAATATGATTCGAGGGCATATAAGAATAATTAAATCGAAAAAATGAAAGTATTTCTATCGGTTTACCAAATAAAAAATATTTCTATCGGTTCAATGGAGAAAAGAACATTCGCAAGCCTAAACGAATTGTGGAGATCAGTATGTATGAAGACAGAGAAAAATTAATCAGTTACAAGAAGGCTCATTGATAACTTCAAAACACTACAAGCAAAGGCATATATATATATAGGGCTAGAATAATTTATAAACGGGCAAAATATAAACAATAATAAAAATATATCGTTAATTTATATAAAAGTAAATTTAATTTACTATGAGAGCATTTAACAATTTTATCTAAAATTTTATAAAATTTACGAAAGAAATTAAAAATTTTAATTAATCAAATGTGTTATGGGTCATCCACCTTTTTACGTAGATCCACCTTTGTATATAGGGAGAATCGACGTAAACCATATCACAATTAAATCATGTATTTTTTTTTTTCTAAATGAATAAACCCTAAACTAATTTTAATTGGTCTATAATATAATACCAATTTTTCAAATTATTAGTATATATATACTTTCGTAACAAAGCGACGTCGTTTATAAAAAATGACGGCAAAACTGACGTGGCATGGCATTAATAGTGATGTAAAACGGGCTGGTTCGGACCAGACCGGACCGGTTAGTCAGTTCATTTTTTGTTTAGTCCATTCAACCTGTTTTCTTTACGAGATAGAAAAACTCTGATCCAAACCAAATTATCCGAGCTATGATCAACTCGCGAGCCAGTTTATATTTATCTAATTATCTGAAAAATCTTTAAAAATTATATAAAAAATAATAATTTGAAATCTACATAACAATAATTTGAAGCCATTCAAAATAATATAAAATATTTAACATAAAAATTGTATCCAAATCAAGAAAAATTAACAAAAAATCTGATATCACATTACCAAACCAACATAAAAAAAAATCATACACCAACCAACAACAAAATAAAACAAAAAACATACACCACTGCCAACATTTCATGAATTCATCATGAGTTTCACCTTAATCTTCACCTTTATTTCCACTTGCTTTTTCAATTTTTATAATAAAAAAATATTTTTTGTACCAGTTCGTGAGATAGTTCGCGAACCGACTCGGTTGGGTTTTGGCTCGTAGCGAATCGGCTCGTTAAGTCTATTTTTATTTGGTTTTCTATTTTTCGAACTCGGCTCGCCAAAAAACGAGCCAACCATAAATTGGTTCGCGAGTGTGGCTCATTTTGACATCACTACATTGAAGGACTTGCCAAGTAATGCATATATAGTAATTAACGGAACGAAAATTGTTGGGACGGTTTTTTAGCTAGTCACCTTTGAAGCTGGACACAAAATGATATATATATATATATATATGAAACTTCGTCATCATCATCATATATATATATATATGTAGCATTTAAGGAATAACCCACGTTTTACACCCAGCAGGATCTCCACCGACCGCATGTTAATTTGTCTAAATATTTCAGGAGTTCCCTTGGTCTACACACCAATCTAATCATGTCTACGGATTGATTCAATTATAACAATGTTGGCATTCACTTCCTTTGGTGATTAAGATTGAATAATTGAATATTATTCCTTGTGATTAACGCGGTGTTTATTTATTCTCCCATTTGCCTAAACACAAAGCCCGGAGGGTTTTAAAGCTTTTCCTACCCGAACACGAATGTGAAAAAGGAAAAAAAATGATCCATTATATAACAAATTCGATTATAACCCACACCCCTCAAAATCACACACACATATATATATATATATATATATATATATATATGCTCTGGCCTATATATAGACGAGACCAGACATGAAAACTTAGTTGATATGAGGGAGCGAACAATCCGAATTAGGACAGCCAAGGCTAAACTCACTACCTGTAAGAATAAAGTGATCATCGATTTTAACAGGAGACTTAAACCATCTAATCCAAATCCATTCTAAAGGACTTCCCAATGTATTACCATACGAAAATCTACATCGCATACATATATATATATATGTATGTACACCCTTTTTTATATTTACTGAACATGGATCACTTTAGCAGCCAAGTCATGAGCAAGGTCAGAATCCTCTAACAAGCTTATATTCAAATAGTCTTCTATAGAGGAACCGATCTTGTACTAAATACAAATTCAAGTGCGATCATTAGGGTTTCGGGTTTCTCTGAGACGATTGGACCGAAAGCAGATAAAGAAAATCATGGGCAAGCATCATCGCTAAAGAAGAATTTCCTGTTGCAACTGTTATAGGGTTTCGAGGTTTCGATGAACGGAGGAGATGAAGAGACACAAAACCCTAAATCCGCCATAAAAGACCAACTCCTCCTTTATGGGTCACGAGATTCGTTTGGAAATTCTTTGTGGGAGACTTTTTTTTCATATGATTTCTGAACATTTTTCCGTTTTTTTTGTTAAAAACAATTTTCCCTTATTTTTTGAAATTTAATTATCCTCACTCTTTTTTTTTTCTTCGCTTGAATTTTTTTTTCTACTCTAATTCTTCTTTTACTATATGCGAGAATAAAATAATCTTGAATTTTGAATGATAGATTTGTTTTATTTGTAAAGAAAAGTTAAAAATATAAATTATGCGACGGGATAAAATACTCTAATTAACCATTAATTAGTTTATATATAGTCCTACCCAAAACACAAAAAAATTCATTTTGAACTTCTTTTTCGATAATTGAAAATAGAATTGATAGGATGTGTGACATTCGAATTGGACTATATTATTGCGTATCTGCAAATACGGAAAGTGGTTGTTGTAACATATTCAATTTCTTTATTTCTTTCCTAGGTTAAACGTCTCTGAGTTGTATAAATCTCTAAATGGTGTCTTCAATGGGGGCAAGCCGTTCTATTTTGTTCTCTGTTTCGAATCCCTTCTACTGATATTTGTCATGGTATCAGAGCCCGTACACATCAAAATACCGATGTGACGTATCTCCTTCAATGTCCGTCGAACCAACCCCAAACCCTGACTCGAACCCCGACTCGAACACGACCCCAAACGCAGCCCCGACGATGACTATCGTGGCTCCACGTTGTACGATTTCTCCGTACGATTTTACTTCAAGCGACAACCCTGGATTGATTCTCTCACAACCCTTGCTGCGTGGAGAAAATTACGATGAATGGGCAATCAATATACGACAAGCCTTCAAATCTCGGAAGAAATTTGGCTTTGTTGACGGAACGATTCCTCAACCCGCGAACTCTTCCGACTTTGAGGATTGGGACACCAACAATGCCCTCATTGTCTCGTGGATCAAGAACACCCTCGAACCGAATATCAGATCCGACGTCGTGCATCCTGAATTTGCAACCGATTTGTGGGATTATCTAAAGCGTCGGTTTGGAAAGACAACCACACCTCACCTTCTCAAACTCCGAATTGATCTGGAAAATTGCAAGCAAAGCAGAATGACGGTTGAATGATTTTGGTAAGTTAACCAAAATCTGGGATGATTTAGCAAATTTAAGAACATTGAAAGTTTGCAAATGCGGACGATGCACCAATGGAATTTTTGCCGATCTTGAAAAAGAGAGGAACGAAGATCGCCTGTTTGAGTTTCTTCTCGGACTTGATGAAACTCGATACATCACAATTCGTTCCAATCTTTTGTCAAGACAGCCTCTCCCGAGTCTTGAAGAAGCGTACAATTTGGTGATGCAGGACGAAGACACACAACATATGTCGAAATTGGCTAATGGCAAACCCGAAGTCTCAGCATTCTCAGTCAAAACTGAACACAAGTTTCCTCCGAAACCTGTTCCGAAGGATCCTGCTGTGTTGTGTTCGAACGGTGGCCGAACCGGACATGTTGCTGAAAGCTGTTTCAAGCTTATTGGATTTCCGGAATGGTGGGGAGACAGACCCCGAAATAGAGCCGGTCTGGCAGAGGAACCGCAACACCGACAGTTCCGGTAGACAGAAACAGAAACACCACTGCTCGGGCAAACTCCGCTCTGGTTTCCAGCAACTCTGCTAGGGGTAGGCAAAAATACCCGAAAATCGAGTACTCGTCTCAACCCGAAGGTCAGGTATCAGAAATCGGATACCCGTTTTATAACGAGATAAAGATCGGGTTTAAAAAATGTGAAAACCCGAAATTCGGGTTCGGGTTCGGGTTATCATTTTAAATTCGGATAATTATCCGCGGGTACCCGAATTATAAAGAATTAGCTATATACCCTTATACTATTAGGAAATTACAAAAATACCTAGATCAAAATATTTTACTCCTTTTTCTCTTTCTTCCGCCAACTTCACTCTTTCTTTTTCCTGCAACTTTCTCCCTCCTCCGTTTCTCTGTAAAATCACTCCTTTCATCTTCTTCGTTTTTTTTATTCTCATTTTGTCAGCATCTTGCCTCTTGTAAGTAT